AAAAATAAGTTTCAGAATTTATCAAAACAACAGGATGCTGTTTGAAATTCATCTTTATCCAAAGAAAAATCTTAATCACTTGGCAGAATGGAGTAATTTTTCAAAATACACAAAGATCCTGCTATATACAACATATTATGACATGTTATTCTTAAATGCACATGTTTCAATGTTTTTTAAAATGTCCCTTAACATTCCCCAATCTCTTCAGTTGTAGAAAAAAGAACTATCGTAAATTATATAAAATATTGTGAATGTGCATTATAATACCATACCCTCTACATGTAATTTTCTTTTGTTTCCTTAAACTATTTTGCCAGGAAAATTCAATCAAAGCTGCAAAATTAATTATTCCTAAAATATTGTATATAATTACAATAATTTATGTAAATTCCATTTAAGAATAAAATATTAATTTAAATGAAGTAAAAAAAACATAAAAAACACAAATAATGTATTATTAAATGTTCATGAATTCAAATTCTAAAAGTTTAAAAAATAATAAACAAGTTATAAATCGATTAAAATTTTCTTTTCAAAGGAGATTGAAAGGAAAACAATCTTTTTGGTTAGAAATGTACTCAAACAATGTCTATTGCCTAGAAATTTCGAGATATTTTTCTATTAACTATTAAAAAAAACTCTCCAAGCAATCACAAGCTATTAATTCATTTTTTTTTACCGTCTGAACTTGGTTGCTTAGCAACGGCGTAAAATTGGGTATTGCTCTCTTGAATTAGTCTATGATCAACTTAAATTACTCAGACACTGCTTGACTTTTGCTTAGGACTATCATCAAATATATATATATAACTTTCTAGCCCCCGACTTTATGATCCAATTTTTTCGAAAATTTCTCGACCACCCCTATTTTGAGGGTAGGGAATCCAAACTTGTAAAAGAATACACGTTTATTCAGAGAAAGTACGTTTAAAAGCTTGATTTTGTAATTTAAATAATAGTCAGCACTAATTATTTAGAGTATTTGAATTCACAACCAGCAATTATTAAGATTGACACTTAGTAGTAATGATCTGGAGAGAGCGAAATCACCATTTTTGAACTTGGAAAAAAAAGTTTGGCATTTACGAACGCGTGACGAACTTGGATATATATCGCAAATGTTTCTGGTAACAACTGCTGTGTAACTACTCTTGTGGAACTCAAAAAACACCCAATATCCGATATGCATGTTTTCTAGGTTTGACATTTCCCAATGGCTTGAAATTAATTGTAATAAATTGTGAAAATAATAATAATAAATATAATATCTAATTATTTACGAGTAAACAAATTACTCCAACTTTAAAATGTCTTTTCCACGAGAACACGTCTTTGCACGATAAGAACCAATAGACAACCACCTCATTGGTTTTCTTGTTGTTATTGAAACATAAATGATCCTAAAGATAAATGTTTCGAGCAATGATTCCCATAGCAATGAAAGAACTAAAACAAGCATAAATTGTTAAATAGACATTCATTAAACAGTCATTTTAAAATTGTGCCTAAAGAAAAAAGAATTTGATTTCAGAATTTCGCTTTAGAATTTAAAAGTCAAAAAATTTTCTCATCATTCTTCGTAAGATCAAAATAATGTTCATCGATTATTAAACAATATACCATTTAATACCAGTTTAAGATGCTTTACTACTTTGATAGATTATTGAAGAGTGAGGTGATTTTAAAGCTCTAGTGTTAAACTCAAAAGAAAGAAAGAAATTCATACATTTTCTCAAACAAGATAGAAATACTCTTATTTATTCAACTCTCATATTGAATTCCATATTTTATTGAGACTTTTGGGGAATTGGAATTCATCTCTTTTTGGTATGGCTGTCAAACTAACACTTATACTAGTGGTGGCTTACCTTTTGCATATTATGCAACAGTTTGTTGACAGATGCGTCAGATAACAAGAACAATTTTTATAGAGGTTGACATTTATGGCTAGGAATTTGTAAATAGAGATAGTATTAAAATATTTTTCGCTTAAAAAAAGAAAGTGAAATACATTAATCACGCTGTCGATTTAATTAATTTATCCTATTTTATTAAAGTATCAATCTGCATTCATTAGATATAATTTTCTGTATACTGTTAAAAAATTTCTGATCAAAGGAGGTAAAAAGTAATGGCCTCTTGAATGCAGCACACTTTAAAGCCAATTTACCTTAAAATTCCTCTTTACCTCAAAATTTTTTACCATACTTTTTTACAGTAATATTTATTTAATAACAATAATTCAATGAATTTACAATATATGAATTATATTATTTATGAAATTTATAGTATATTATTTAGTATTTACAATTTATGAATATGAATTACATAAACATTACCGTAAAATTTGCGGTATCTCAGATTTTTGTTTATTATTTTGTTTTTTAGATAAAAAATGCTTTCATCCCGAGTGCCAGTACATTTCTGTAATTTTTACAGTTTAGGGGAAAGTGATTTTTTAATACTATGCTCTGAAGCTCTATAATAAATCCAGACACTGTAGACACTAGACTGCAAGAAAGAGATCGGCTTAAAATTTAAAAATAGGAAGTGATACCAAAACCGGTTCCACAATTTGTCACTTACTTTACTAATTCGAGTAGGAAGGGTAAATACATGCCCAAAATTTGGAAAATTATGTAAAAAAGAAAGAGGAGAAAAGGAGCCTTCCTGTAATTTTAGAATCGACTATAGCGTGTAATAGACCAATGAAGTACACCTAAGTCATTCCTAGTTTACATAGCCGCACTGCACAACTACGCACAAAACAACAACCTCAAATAATTATCTTTTCATGAATGGATTTAAACATAATAATGCTTCCTTAAAGTTCAAGGAACAAGCCTTAACTTTACTATTTAATTTAAGCTAAATAGTAATTGGGTTACGAAGTAAAAAAAAATCATATTTTTTATCTGAAAAAAAAATCGCATTTTTTTCTATTATAACTCTATTATTATCTTTATAATTAATTTAAATAAAAAATATAAGTATTTATTAAAAGTATTAAGCTCAAAATTGCAATTTCTCGGGAGGAACTGTTTTACTAAATTGCCATATTTTAGATTTTATTATTTCAAATTATGCTTTTTTAAAAAAAATGTGAATATTAACATTACTTAAACAAGATTTGCTTAAACATTGTTAAATTAAAAAAAAACAATAAATAATTTCAAGTAAATAGTCTTGTACAAAATAATTTATGGATTAACAACAGTTAAATACGTTAAAGGATGGACTAAGCTATCAAAACAATGTTTTTAAATTGTGCTTCCTCCATCTTGAATATTAAAATGCAAAATTTATTAAAAATTTGATAAGTTCAGTTCCGTTAAATACGAATTATTGCAATATTTTTGCATTAATACTAAATTATACTCAAAGTTTTAGTATTTTTTTGCTAATTTCAGCACAGTAAATAGCAAGGTGTTATAGAAGGCTTATTTTTAGCTTTAAAAATGAAGAAGTCAACATTTCATTTGGAACACAGTCCTTGAGACGAGTCAAGGGAAAGAAAATATTTTTTTTCTTTCAGATAGGTTAAGTACTTTATCATAAATATTAAAATCGTTTACTTGATCATAAGATGCTCGTTAACAGAGTGAAAATTCCAATAGTCAAAAATCCATACTACAGAATAATTACTTTTTATCAAAATTATTTTTTATGAAAAACAAATTTACTGGTGCTAACAAGAAAAATAATGCATAAGGTAAAAAAAAATTTTTTTTTCCTCAGCTTATCACATTATAAAAGAGTGCAATTATGCAATATTCTTCCCTCAACTCAATCATATTAACAGAAATCCGCACTAAACGGAAAGCTAACGACAAGAAATAAGGATTTTTTATATCATAGATGTTGCAGAGAAAGACGCAAAATCATGTTATCATGCCATCGTCAAAATCATGTCAACACAGAAATCAATTTATTTTGTTGAAAAGTACAGTATCTCTAATGAAATTACCCTACTTTTCTTACATTTTGCAACGTTATTTCTGACGTTATGACATCTACAACTTTTCTGAATGCCAAAACTATGGTTCTGACATAAACTACATTTCTGATGTTTCTAAATTGACCTATAGAAAGTAAGACACTCTAGAATCTTTCCTCATGTTCGTGGTTCGAATAAAAAGTCGAGGACTCATCTTTTTCGAAAAACACTTGAACTGCCGTTCTATAGATCGAAATGTAATGTTTGGTATATAACATAGAAAAGTAGTTGCTTATTTGAAACAGGTTTATATATGTATACTAGCTGACACGGCAAACGTTGTTTTGCCACATGAATTATTTCTAGAGTACGTAAATATATGTAGCGTGTGCGTATGTGGTATATGAGTAGAAGAGGCATGGAGCGCTGTGAACGATGACGGATTGTAAAAATAACAACACACCAAATAATAGTTTTTGTAATTTATTGCATCTTTTTTTATAAATTAAATACACAACGAATTCTGAAAATATTAGTCAACAATATTAATCTCTTAGTGTAATGGAGTGTACAATACTTTTTGTCATTCTATCCTTAGCTAATACAAATAAACTGGATGGTTTGCCCACCCGAGAGCATGCCACTTACAATTGTCCGTGGGAAAAACATGGTATGCTCAAATCTAAGACACAAACAGACATTGTTTGACCTTGTCATTGCAAATGGCAATCTAAAGGGGAACTGAATGAGTTTAAATTGAATTGGCACATCTGTGGGTATGATAGGGATTTGTGGAAGTAATAAACTTTCACCCCGGAATTTGTCATTTAAAATAATGACTTCGATAACGTTGTTCATTAATTTTTTAACGACTAATCGCGTGCCGTTGCGCAACCGTGGTGGGTTCAAATTACGAAGCAAAATAACCTGAGTTCCAACTTTGAGTACTAAATTATGCGGTGGTATGCCTGGTGAATCCAATGAATTTAAAAATTCTGTTGGAAAATTTGCAGCTTCAATGGGATCGCAAACTGCATGAACGGATTTATATGTCACCAAGTTACCTGGCAATAACTGTTGTATCCTCAGATTCTATTCGTTGACGTCCACATTTTTTGCTGCTAAAATCGCCCTTTCTGCCAGTAACTTTTCCATCACTGATATCTAACAATTGTTTTGAGAATGTTTCAGCAGATGGATCTTGAAGCATTTGAACGCGCATATTTACTTTTAGTTGAACTTTTTCAACATTAGGCCAAAGTGGAGATGATTTCAAGCAAGCATTGATCTCATCAGCGTACGTTGAACGCGGAATGACGGGAAGTGTTTGTCTGAAATCACCTGAAAGGAGTAACAAAGTGCCGCCAAATAATTTGTCATTGTTTTTTATATCTTTCAATGTCCAGTTCAACGCCTCAAGCGAATGTTTGTGTGCCATAGTGCATTCATCCCAGATGATAATTCTACAGTGTTTCAACACTGTTGCCATAGACGATTGCTTTTTTATGTTGCACACTGCGTCTGGGTTGTTTTGAATATTTAGTGGCAGCTTAAATACTAAATGAGCTATTCTGCCTCCATCCAATAAAGTTACCGCAATGCCAGATGATGCAACGGCCAACGCGATGCTATTATTTGATCGTATTTCAGCGAGAATTAGCGAAATAATGCATGCTTTGCCAGTTCCACCTGGTGCATCCAAAAAAAATCCACCTTGTCCTGCCGAAACTGCGAGCATAATGCAGTCATAAATGTTCCTTTGTTCTTCATTCATTAGTGGAACATTGCGAGTGACATTCTCTGCCATTTCTATTGTATTGTATTGAAGTTCACGATTCATGTCAGTGTTTAATATATCAGATGCACTTCGATTTGGCGAAGGCATACTGAAATGACTGAGTGGCAAGTTGGCAATAATAATGCAAAGATCCTCAATAGCAATCAGTGCTTCATTGCACATAGCATCGCTGAATGCTATCGTTAGATCCTTGCAACGTGTCGATGTTGATACCGTATATCATCAGTCATCGAATCTCTGTGATTATCCCATAACGTTTCTATTCGGGCCGGGAAACATGTAGTTAATACTATAGCAAACAGTCGACGAATTTGCTTTGCGGTGCAGTTTCAGCAAGCATACATCTCCACTGGTTGTCATCTTCCAGCAAGCCGAGTGCAAGGCATGCATCTTTATACGATGGATGATGTTGTCCACCGACTTTACGTATATCTTGAAATGACAATCAACCGGTGACATTAACCAACAACAGTCGGAAAAAAAAGCACTCTGTCTGCCTTGGGTTGACTGTAAATACTCCCCAAGGCGTTTGATTTGAATAAACCGGGACATGCATCAACCGGTGTGCCTTTCTTGCAGGGTGTCCATTTTTTTGTTTGAGCCCATGTGAAATAGTGTGGTACTTCTGAGTAGAGCAATGTCCATGCAAAGGCACCAAAAGCATTCGCACGATTACACAATTAAAAAAAATTCAGTTGGTGTAGTTTTTTGTGGATTTATATCTCGGTCAATCTCTGTCTCGTTCGTGAAATATACGCTCTGACCATTTTCAAGATGGACAGCTAAATGAATAACTGTTGGATCATGAATAGGGAATCCAAAGTTACGCCAAACAGCTTCATTGGAGCTGATGTACCGGCCAATTTGGTACAGCGTTATTTCGTCGTTGTTATTCACTGGAAGAGCAGTCACATTGGTATTTTCAACTCGAAATACTGCCACATTACTGCCCTTATTCACATACTTGCAAATATATTTGATGCTCTTCTTTTAAGGGCGAGCATAAGTATTAAAGTTTAATATGACTTGTTGCAACGTGCGTGAATATTACTTATGATTAATTACGTTTCTATGTCTAGTTTGGAATCGTTTAAATAAAGATATATTTAAAATATACGTTAAATCTGTCCAAAAAATGAAAAAAAATTAGTTATAAACTGTCACATTTACACTTAATGTAATGTGAC